CACAATGCTTTAAGAGGGCTGGACTTCCACTCCCAGAATCCCCCAGCCGGCCTGATTTAAGAGGGAAGTTTCAGAGTTGGCTAGCTGTCAGGATTCCGGCACTTAACCCCATTTAAATCCTGAATCTCGAGCCAAACTTCCAGAACTTCAAATGGATTTATTGGGGAGTTAACATGCCAGCACTGCCTGGATGCAGCCAACTCTGAAACCCATAATTCACTGTCATCCTTGACCCTGGTTTCCCCCTCCACCTCTCTGAGTGTATCGCAATTCATATCCTCCAATGGGACACCTCCCTAGCCCAGAGTCATCCATCAGGCTCTCCAGTTAGAATTTTGCATGGCAGAAACTTCAGTCACCTAGTCACTATCTTTGAAAACATTTATGGAATGCACTTTCAGTTTTCAAGCTGCCACACTGCTTCCCCTACCCTTTCTGTTAATGGCAACTCTGAAAGGACCCTAGAAATATTTGATGAGTTGACATCCCTCAGCCGCCAACAGGGCACAACATCCCCAAGCAAGCCCATGGCCAACCAAGTAGGGCAGGAAGGGGAGAGACGGAAGAGGCGGGAGAAGTGGGGGGGGCCTTGAACCCCGTTTTCCATGCGAGCTTACCAGTGTCTGGCGGGACGCTTCGTCCACTGTGGCCACAGAGCCCGAGATACTGGGCTCCAAGGCGTCTAAGGAGAGGTCTATGTTCTCCTAAAAAAAGGAGGGACAGACGAGGCCTGATTAGTGTCCGGTGGCCACAGGTCAAGGAGCCCAGAGAGGGGAAGAGAGACACCACGGTCAGTGCGTTAGTCAGGAGAGAGAGTCCACAGCCCCCCACCCCCACCTGGAAAAAGGAAAAGAAATAAAACCTGGGTGGGCTGGAAGAGAGAAATCCCCAGGGGTGGAAAAGGGGAGGAGCAGGAAATCGGTGGGTCTAGCTGCCCGCTGGAGGGCCCACTACGCGCACCAAGCTTGGCCCCTCGGAGACGCGTGAACTTCAACTCCGGGAATTCTGCCCCGTGGGAATTCTGGGAGTTGAAGCCCACAAGTCTTCAAGGGGCCAAACGTGAAGGTTTCTGTTTTAGGACAATCTCAGAAAAGAACAAAGAATCACCAAGTGGGGAGGGACCTTGGAGGTCTTCTAGTCCAGCCCCCCCTGCTCAAGCAGGAGACCCATTACCGTTCCAGACAAGCAGCTGTCCAATCTCTACTTAAAAGCCTCCAGTGTTAGAGCATTTACAACTTCTAGTGGCCAGCTGTCCCACTGGTTAATTGTCCTCACTATTAGGAAGTTTCTCCTTAATTCCCACTTGCTTCTCTCCTTGGTTAGTTTCCATCCATTTTCCTTCCTTCCTTCCTTCCTTCCTTCTTTTCCTCCCTCCCCTCTCCTCTTTGTCTTTCTCATCTTCCTCCCTCCCTCCTTTTCTTCTATAGAATAGAATAACAGAGTTGGAAGGGACCTTGTAGGTCATCTAGTCTAACCCCCACCCACCCAAGCAGGAGACCCTACACCATTTCAGACAATTGCCTGTCCAGTCTCTTCTTAAAAGCCTCCAGTGATGGAGCCCCCACAATCTCTGGTGGCCAGCTGTTCCACTGGTTCATTGTCCTCCCTGTTAGTAAGTTCCTTCTTAGTTCCAGGTTGCTTCTCTCCTTGATGAGTTTCCAACCATTTTCCTTCCTTCCTTTATCTCTCCTTCTCCTCCCTCCCTCCTATAGAATAACAGAATAACAGAGTTGGAAGGGACCTTGGAGGTCATGTAGTCCAACCCGCTTACCCAAGCAGGAAACCCTATGCAATTGGAGAAAAATGGCTGACCAGTCTCTTCTTAAAAAAGCCTCCAGCGACGGAGCCCCCCACAATTTCTGGTGGCCAGCAGTTCCACTGGTTCATTGTCCCCCCCCCCCCCCCGGTCAGGAAATCCCGCCTTAATTCCAGGTGGCTTCTCTCCTTGATGCGTTTCCATCCGTTGCTTCTCGTCCTGCCTTCAAGGGTCTTGAGAAAACAGGCTGACAAACGCCCCCCCCCCCCCCCTTCGGGCTGTGGTTTCCCCCAATTCCCCCCCCCCCCCCCCCCGCCCCCCCCCCCCCCGGGAAGCATATACCTCCTTGTAGCGCTCCAGCTCCTGCACGAAGGTGCGTTCGTGGAAGAGGCCCTGCAGCCGCTCCTGGGCGTAGTTGTGGCACAGCTCCTCAAAGGTGGCGCCCCGGCTCTGGCCGGCCATCTCGGGGTTCTGCAGGCCGGGCGTGTCCACGATCATCATGGAGCACAAGGAGCGCTGGCTGGACTTCAGGGCCCTGCCGGGGGGAAGAGAGGAAGCCTGAGTGGGGGAGTGGGTGGGGGGCATGAATTGGGAGGGTGCTGGGTTTCCGCCCCACCTGGGAGCAATTCCGCTTGGCTGGCTGGGCAAAAGGACATCCGGCCAGGAAACGCTCACCTGGGTCCCTTCAGTGGCCCAGACTCCGCCCCGCCAGGGATTATTATGGGGTCATTAAATGAAGATGATGATGATGATTATAGCCACACATTGCAGCCTGAAACTCTGTATTTATCTATCTCTATCTATCTATCCATCCATCATCTATCATCTCTGTGTTTGTCTATACATCTATACCATGTCTGTCATTTATCTTTATCTATCTATCATCTATCTATCCATCATCTATCTATCTATCTATCTATCTATCTATCTATCTATCTATCTATCTAT